GAGAGAGAGAGAGAGCCCATATCGCGTTGGAAACCAATATCACGTGCGCGCGCGCGCATATTATATGTGCATTCGTCTATGTATGTTCTGTGGTACCTATTCCTTAATAGCCCTCTGATCCATAGATATAACTATATATAACTATAACGTAGTTACAGTTCGTTAAGCGTTCATCCCGCAAGAAACACCTATAGATCGCGAGAATACGTGTATTATTCACACGTGTTAATTGTCATTATTATCCCTAGGCATTTTTTTATAAGCATATTTTATAAGCATTTTATTCGGATGAAAAGAGAAAGAAATGGGGCTGAACTCTAGAAAACACACTTTACAAGTATCGATAGCTCAGAACGATAGATCTCGAGAGAATTACAGTAACCAAGAGTTAACTTTTATAAATGTTCAATGGAGACTGTAGAACTACGTTGTAAGAAGAAAGTGATATTGTTCATCGCTAACACGTGTTTCTTTGTTATACTCGTGTTAATTCAAATAACAATGTTTCAAATTTGTTTTATAGATTCAATTGTGTTACAGATTCAATTATAAAGCTTGCTATGATTTAATATTAATCAGTAGTCGTTACGCATAATTATCATCTTGTACTTGAGAGGGATGTTTCAAGGCGCATAAATAATTCACTTGTTTAAACTTAATGATGGCAGACTACAAAAGATAGTTTGCTTGCTAGGCCACGCCCATGTGACAGACTTCAACATAGCGACTGTACTCGAAGACGGGCAGTTGGCAACTTCGATGTCTGGTACAAAACCATATATAGGTATGTGTGAACGATATAGTCTTTCATATCTGTGTGTGTGTGTGTGTGTGTGTGTGATTTTCTCTTCTCCCATATGAATTATTTTAATTATTTAAAAAAATCGCTATGTGCAATATTTTTATATTTTATATCATTTCGATATTTCAATCTATATTTTCTAAATATTTAATATTTGTTTAATTATTTAAATTGCCACGCTGTTCTTTCAATATTTAACATGAACACACATCAACTTTATACATTTATAATTTCAAAGTCTACCTTGTTATTCTCATCGATTGTTTCTCAACTCCTTATTCGTGTCATTATATTTTTGTTCTACAAATGGAAAAAAAAGATACTTTTATATAACGTAAGGACTAGCTTCAATCTCAACGAGATATCGCTGGAAAAGACACTTCGAGGAACGATTAGGCCCTTCGTTTCCATGCATCAGTTCAAATCCGTCTTTTATGTTTATATCCTCTTTATATTACCCGAGTCTGCTTTCGCGGGAGTAACATGACCGGGACGCTTTCTTGTGTTTCTTCTTTTTAACGCGGATCAGCCCCGGAGATTTACATGTGCTCATGCGAGGAATACGGTGTTCTTGGCTATGGATTCGCCGTGGATTGGTGGAGTCTGGGAATCCTCGCTTGGGAAACTTTAGCTATGGAGAGACCGTATCCGCTTCACTCCACAACATCCAATAGAGAGGCTCTGAGGATCTTGCAGGTGAGACACAAATGTAAAAAGGTAAAAAGATAAAAATAAAATAATGTTGAACATATTTCGACAAAAAGAATGCATCCCGCGATTTTTCCTTTGTCTTTGTCTTGTCTGAAGCTATATGCGGTACGTTTCCAAAGTCTGCGAAATTATTCTTGAGTAATACGTACGCGTTATTTCGTTGAGTAAGGCTGCGTCATGTCTCGGCTGTCACGTTAATTAAGGACTTGTCACGACACGTGCCACGACATGTTATATAATGTTTGCCAGTTCTACCGATGTCTGCATGTTCCTCTGCTTGCATAAACGCAGGCATTTTAACTATACTCGTAACTTTAGATTTCGGGATGATTCTAAACGCTTGGGATGTAAAGCCGTCCAACATATCAAACGTGCGAGTTAGATGTACGACATCTTGGAATTGCATTTGTGATTAGAAGGATGAATTGAATCTCCTTTATTTTGGGATAATCAGGATTGAAAGATCACTTCTCAAGAGTTTTATAAAAAAATACATCGCTCATTTGCTACAACAACAGCATATCTCAAAAAACAAGGTTTTTCCCAGAAAATGAGATTGAATATTTCGAGTTATTAAAATTTGTAATATTATTTTTAATTGCAATTATGAAAGTAATAACTGATTATAGAGGAATAAAAAAACATTATTAGCCCTTTAGTGCTCTTTAGTCAGTGTAAATTGAATATTCATTTACTATAAAAATAATCCCGCAAAAAAAGCAAAATCTCTTCGATTTATGATGCTCTTAATACAAAATTCTCTTTTCAATTAAAAATTTTAGAAGCTCAATTATTATTATATCATTCTACCAATAATAAAGGCTATGTATCAAAAAGACTTGTTCTTCTTTTGTAAACAATTGCAATTCAAAAATAATTTTTGTGTTATATTCTCGTTGTGGCAAATAAGCGATATGTATCTGAGATTAGTTATATTGTCTTTAGCTTTCACTCAGAAGTTCCGTGTTCATGCGACGAATGCAAGAAATTCGCGTGAAACAAGTAATATTTTGCTTTTCAGGACGAAAGATCGATGCCCTCGCATTGGAGTCCGTCGATACGCGATCTCTTGGATCGTCTGTTAACTCTCGCGCCGAGCGCTCGAGTATCGTGCTTGAAAGAACTGAAGCAGGTGAGCGCGATGAGAGACCTGGACTTCGACAAAGTGCTGAACAAGCAGATAAAGCCGCGCTTCACCCCGCCGAAGGATCATTTGAATTGCGATCCCACCTTCGAGCTCGAGGAAATGATAATCGAGACGAAACCCCTGCATAAGAAGAAGAAACGCCTGGCTAAACAGAGGTCGGTCGCTTTCACGTAAACATCTCTCTGTCTTCCTCTTTCTTGAATCGAA